GTTTAACAGCTCCCCAGGCGTCTGTCAGCCTGTCATGGCTATTTCATGAGGCTCTGAACCATACTGAGCTAGCTAACACCACACACACACCTCTCTGATTACTGGAGCTGATAAATCTCACACGCAGGTAAAACAGTGAGTGACTGTGTGTGTGTGAGAGTGTGTGTGTGTGAGAGTGTGTGTGTGTGTGAGAGTGAGAGAGAGAGCGCTTTAGTTATGATAAACTGCAGTTACTTAAAGTTAGAGTCAGTTTTTCAGGTTTAAGTAAAACTCAACAAACTCTGAAACTTATAAACTGACTTTGAGTGAAACAACTTGTTTGTTAATTATTGTTTCATTCAAACATCAAGAGAGGTTGAAGCAGAAAGGACTACCAGCCGGGCAACATGAGCACATGAGGTCCGCAAGGGCCCCATGATCCGCAAGGGCCCCATGATCCGCAAGGGCCCCATGATCCGCAAGGGCCCCATGATCCGCAAAGACTCTGTGGTCCCAAAAGGCCCCGAGGTCTCCACAGTCTCCACTGAATCCGTTAGGGAGACACTAAGGTGGGTTTCCCCATCTTGTAGCCTTGTCTTGTAGAACTTGTCCCTTGTGTCGAAGTCTAATTTACACATTGATGAAGACCATGAGGTGCGGTTGAAAGCCCCTCAGGAAGCGACCACGAGTGGAAACACACCAATTAAAACTCACTCTAATAGTTTTCTTCCTCAGTTCTTATAGTTTCACTTGAAACCCGTCTACTTATGAAGGGTTTCTCTGTTAACCAGCTTTAATGAGCTCTGCTCATAAATCTAATGAGCTCCTGCTGCGTTACAACCTGCTTCATGTTGGGAAAGCATTCAAACAGATTTATGAAAGTAGATCAAAATAGAAATAAAGATGAATGAATGCGTTACAACCTGCTTCATGTTGGGAAAGCATTCAAACAGATTTATGAAAGTAGATCAAAATAGAAATAAAGATGAATGAATGATTTAAAGCTGCTCAGTGATGTTCTTCGTACTTTACAAACAGCTGCTGAGGGGAAGAAATAACACTGATGATCCACTTCTTTTGTTATTAAAAACAGACTTTTATGGTGAAAGAGGAGTTTCCTGTCCTGAAGCCACACACACACACACACACACACACACACACACACTAACCTGACTCTCTCCTTTGGGTCTCCGAAGGACTCCCGGAGTCGAGAGAAGTCGGGGTAGAAGTGGACAGACGGAGAGACGACCTCCAGAAGACCCGACTGAATCTCTGCTGGAAAACTGAGACACAAAGAAGAAGAAGTTACTGTCACGGCTCCGCTGTGACTCCAGCTCGTTCTTGGTGTCTCCCCTCTGTTCTCTGTGTGTGTGTGTGTGTGTGTGTGGGGCATGGGCGCGGCTTCCATCACCCGGCACCTGGGCTCATCTCCGCACCTGCCGGCAATCAGACCTTCAATCACATGCAGCTCAAGTACCCCGGCTTCCTTCACTCTCATCGGCAGATTGTTTCGTCAGCTCAGTGGTAGCTACGACCTCGGCCCGCTGAGTTTTTCCTCTACTGAGAGTTTGTTGAACTTCGCTTATCTGAGATTACGACTAACTTGTCTTTTCCTTGTGCATCAAGATCCCGGTGCCCACGCCGCCTCACCTTCCTACCTGCGTTCTCCGCCGGCTCTACGAACAACTCAATAAAACCTATTTCCTTCATACGCTGCCGTCTCGGTGTCTGCTTATGGGTCCGGGATAACCAACCGTAACAGTTACTTTATTATTCTTTTATTTTGTAATAGTACATCATATTGTCAAATGTGACACAATGTGCTTGATGTCAGGACAATAAAGTTAATTGAAACTGAGACAAACAATGTAAAACACAACATGAACTTCACTGTAAACAGAGAGAGAAGAAGAAGGAGAGAGGAGGATGTAGAGAAGAAGAGTGTTAACAGCAAAAGAGAGAGGGAAGGGAAGGAAGAAGAGAAGGAAAGGAGAAGTAGGTAGATAGGAAAGAAAAGGGGATGGAAGGAAAGATGTAGGTTAGAGAAAGATCTGTAAATGAAACGTAAACGAAGGGAAGAAAAGAAAGAAAGAAAGGGTAAGAGAAGGAAACAAGGATGGGAAATAATAGGAAAGAGGAGGAGGAGGCAGTAGAGGATGGAGTTAGGATGTAGTGAAGGAAAGATGGAAGAAGAAGGAGGTGGGGAAGGAAAAAAAAAAAAATCACACTTGATCTTTGTGCAGCTGGAACTGTTCGTCCAGCAGGCTGAGTGTGTGTGTGTGTGTGAGTGTGTGAGTGTGTGTGAGTGTGTGAGTGTGTATGTGTGTGAGTGTGTGAGTGTGTATGTGTGTGTGTGTGAGTGTGTATATGTGTGAGTGTGTGAGTGTGTATGTGTGTGTGTGTGAGATACATTAATCATGCTCTAACATGCTGCACTTTGACTGCATGCCATGAACAATGGCTCACACAGCTGTTCACGCATAGCAGCGATCAAAGGCTACCGTGTACACGCACACACACACACACACACAGGAGGTGGAGAGTCTCCTCCAGGGCCTGTTGCCGTAGAAACGGCATCCCATCATGCAGGTGGACAACTTACAGGCGCTTCAGGTTGTCTGCTACACTGCTGGCGTACTGCTGGTCGGCCTGAAGACACAAAACACAAAGACAACTGCTTTAGGTTCTTTATATTTAACATGAACACAGACGTCGCCTTCAGGACCTGGAGGTGCTTCGGTTTGGTGGCCACACTCGGTACTGCAGGTCATGTGATTAACCTTTATAGCCCTAGCCCTATTTTTAGGCCTCTGCTCGAAAATTGCATACCCATACTTAAAAGACTGTAAATCTGAAACTACAAGGTCTATTTTAATAATTTCGATGGTTTAATACAGGTAAAACTTGTGAGAGACTTGTTCAGATGTGTAAAGATGTGTATATGTTACTGGTTAATAGTGAATGAAGATGCACACAGCTCAAATTGAAAAGTTTCAGGTTCGCCTGAAAAAAAGCACTTTTATTGAAAATATTTATTTTAAATAATGCAGATTGAAGCCTAAAAATACAGTCATAGCACAACAGGTTTGTGGTCTCCACAAGCACATTTTACTTAGATTGAGTGAAGCAGGCCAGCATAAATGAGGTCTGAGTACAGAGTCAAGAGTCAAGCCGAATTCTCATTTTAGGAACCGGCTTTTGCGCTGCTCTATTCAAATTGTATATACTATATAACTACGTATTAACTATATATTCACTTGCTTTATCACTAAGAGTGTTCAATACATCGTAATAAAGCAGTTTGGCATCATTTTCAGCCATGTTCAGCTCTCATGTCTCTCCTCCATAAAAAAATCTCCTCTCAGTCAGTGTCTATCTCGGCCTTTGTAAGGCCTGTGATTGGCGGATTTCATCATGTGACACCTTGTTGAAAACTGCTGGCCATTTCCTCATAGAAGGTGCCAGCACGTTCATTTCAATGCAGAGAGAGAGAGTGGGGAGAGGGTCTATTTTCGCTGCATCGGATTTCAATGGATTACCTGCGTTTTTCGGCACGAAAATCAGCCAAAAGGTATGCTGACTTTCAATTTTGTTTCTGGAGAGCAGTGTGTTTGTTGGCTTTGTTCATGTAACTTTTGAATGGTTTGACGGAGGTGAATTTGGAGACGTTGTGTCAACGCCGTATCGAGCTCTTGTGCGGAATCATCCATCCGCCATGATCGCTGCCGGCTTTGTGATGAAAGATGAAAATCGGGTGCACAGTTCGCCGATTTTTTGGAGAAAAATCCGTGATTTTGTGATAAATCTTCTAGTTTATTGAATTAGTTTGTGTATAACTGTGTATAATTGTGTAAAATGGCTGGTATGATGATTTTGCCGAGACTTTTTTTGTTAATTCGGTATTTAATATGTCTGGAGCATTTTTGATATTTCTTGATGAAAAGTCCATTCGGAACCACGGTACCACCCGAAACGGTCTCGCTCGAACCCCAAATGGGGCTTCAAAACAAACTTCTGTCTTCAGAGGAAACAACTTAGCTAGGTTAAGAAAAGTCCGTGAAATAGTTATGTTCAGGAAAAGATTGTATAATACTTTGTTCATTGAGATGGTTGTTTGGGTTAAAATAACGACAGAAGTGGCGTTACTTAAGTACATCAGTGAACGCTGACTTCTTGTTTCACACACGGCACAAACAGTGATCTCCTGGCTGAAAGGTTTTTACTGTCTTTAAACTTCCTGGTTCATGATGACATGGATTACTTAAAAAACCTATGGCGTTCATTACCGTCAGTGTGTTGAAGCCACAAAACACACACACACACACACACACACACACACACACACACACACACACA